ACACTGGTGTCCCTCGACTCGAAGCTTGCTCATCTTGCACTTAGAAAGTTACAAGATTGAAGTGAAAAAACTACTCAAAACTATCAGGACCAACAGTGTAACATAGAAACCAATCCTTTTTTTTGTTTTCTTTTTTTTTTGTAGTGGCATCTTTCTTATAAATTGAGATATATGCGCCTAGATAGAGTATGCGGATTTTAGTACATTTATTATATAAATAAATGTCTATTTATACTTAAAAAAACACACACAATTATATTAGGATACATAAATTGCAAAATAAAATGACATATAAATTAAAAAGTATTAGAACATCTTGAAAGCATGAGGAACAAGCATATAATGAGTGTTCATCCAAGTATTCAACAAGTCTCTTACATTTTATTGAAAAATTAAAATGCACAATGAAAGTTATCGATTTTTTGTCTAAATTAGAGTCGCGATCTAGACGGGTTTAGGTGGGCTAGGCGAGTGCCTAGGCAGTCTAAGCGGATGCCTAAATGGGTATAGGTGCACTTTCTTAATTTCAAACGATTAGACATAGACTTTTAGAATAGTATACAACTAATTCCCATTTTTTCAAAAAATAGGAATCACTTGTCTTAAAGAGCCTATATAAACATACATACATACATACATACATACATACATATATATATACCTCTCTTCTAAATTCTAATGAGGAGGTATCCATCCACGGTTAATTACATCCCACAAAATAGGCAAATACGTAAGTGATAATATTATAAATATATAGTATTATATCATGATGAGTATGCATGCGTGGCACAATCGATTGCGCAGTAGGCAATTGAGTGGCAGATGGATCGATCATAGATTCTAATTTGAACTAGAAAGAAAATGGTGATGGTGATGTGGACCACATTGTTTGATGGTGCGAGGCTCCTCAAGACATATATTTATATAGTCCATGCATGAGAAATTCTCAAATTAGATGCAAGAATGATTATAAGTATGTCTTACTGAAGCAGAATCATTAAATATGTCTTATTGAAGCAGAATCATCTGTCAACGCATTTGTCTGACGATATATAATCCAAACCAAATTTCCAGGTCTTTAGTGTGCAAACTAAATATGAACGTGATGAATTGGTGTGTATGCATATATATATATATATATATATATATATATATGACACTTGAAATGCATCATGCCTCTCGATCACCCAAACTAAACTTGCAAAGAAAACAAACTAGCCAAAAGATTCGAAAGTTGTAAGAAAAAAACCAATAAGTGAAAGCAATCAGATCATGTTTGAAAATGGTGGGAGCTTCATTTGCTTGTTGACTATCTTCTTCTCATCCTCTCATGGTGTAGCATATAAGTACTGAGGAGATAGTAACACAAGAAATCATGAGTGAAGCCTGCTTTGGTCCTGGTCTTAATAATCAAATGGCTAAACATATCCCATATCCAAAGGGGCATGATGAGGAACTAGTAAGTACCCAGTTCTATGTATGCCCACTCTAATACATGCCTATAATGTTCACACTGCATGTGTACCACCTACACATAGTATATGATGATAACATAGAATTTATACACCCTATATATGGTTCAATATTGTAAGAAGTATACGTTGGGTGATGTTACTGGCACTGACATCTCCCTTTCTTTGGCCGGTATTAGGTCATTTTGTCACGATATTGTTCTATTGCTAAACTTATGTTGCAAGCAAATAAATCTCTATGTTTGTACTGTTAAACAGTAAATCTAGACTAAACATTTTGATCAAAATAAACACACTTAACGTCTAAATTTACACAGCCTAATGAGAGAACAATTTCTGTTTTAATATAGAGGTTGATTATATTCTGGATTTTCTTTCTTTGGTAGAAGAGGGAGTGCGTAAAGAATATTTTTGTGAAAAAAAAAAACAAAAGCATATGGTTTGATTCATTCATCCAATTTAGCTCCTTGCAGCAAGTGTAAGTGTCTCCAACCAGGTAGAGTTAAGGGTGCCATGTGAAGTGGCTGAGCTCAAGTTGGACAAAATACCAGCACTGCCGTTGATAATGATGGTATTACCAATCATGACGGTGAGGAAGAAGATGAAGCCAAATAAATGAGTATGGCTTTGGTACTCAATTACACTAAGAAAGGAGACAAAAGGGGAGGACCTAACAATATTGACTACTCCCTCCGTTCATCCTCCATACTTAGGCATCCCTTCCAATAACCTACTCATTTCCCTCTGCCTTCTCTCAAAATCTATCATAATTGACTTGTATATTACTTTAAAAGAAGTTACTACTTCCTGGTTTGCATTTAGCTTTAGGGTTAGTTAATCTCTATTGTGTAAATTTTAGACTTACATGCAGTACACCATAGTTGTGTTGGGTGTACGTAAGTGATCTTTCCTCTATATATAATAGATAACTTATCCTAAAAACATGCAAACTTTTTGAGTTGTTGATCAATTGACCCTCTTTTCATCAGTGATCAACGGCGTGATATTTAGAACTTCAAAATATTCAAACATCCGGTAATTATGATTTTTTGTAATCAGACCCTTCAACAAGAGGGATTCCTATTTTTCTAAAAAAATAGAGACACCCTCTTGACCGTTGGATTGGCTTTAATGAAATTGTGTGGTTGAGATTTAATCACAGGCCACACAATCTCAACCACACAATTTCATGACAATCTAACGGTCAATAAGATGTCCCTATTTTTTTTTTAAAATGAAGATCCCTCTTGTTAAAGGATTCTTTTATGTAATATACCATACATATATTAATATTAGTATAACTAAAATGAAATTGCAGTTGCAAGTGGTTGCGTATTTTCTTGTCGTTGTTGTTGTCTTCTTAGAACGATTAAGACTCTAACTACAGATTATTATAATTCATGAAAGGCGTAACTATTAAGTTTAGTTTGTTTCTTTTCAAATAACATCTAACTATATTTTTGTTCAACTATATATGTTCTGCTGAGACAGGTAGGAGCTAGAGCCTAACGAATTGTTTTTATTCCAAATTGTCTATCCAAAGATTATCAGTGTGAACTACTGGAATATTAATTTCAAATTTTCTTTTACTTTTACTCGTTTTCTTGGAGAGAAAGGGAAAATTTTTCCATGCTTCAAGCATTGGATGATTTAAATTGGTTTAGATTATTATTACTTTTATTGTGGTCCTGTAAAAATTCAGATCGTCCAATTAGGACAGAATATTCGTGTTTGGTAAAAATCCAGACCATCCAAGTAGGACAGAATATTCGTGTTTGGCAACATCTTCAAGTGAAGGGAATGATTACATCCCTAAGTTTAAGTCTACACGTTTGAATCTTGACATTACGACATGCAAAAACATTATTTTCTCGTGTAAAAGCAAAGAGCGTTCTAATGGTTACGTCTACCTTTCAAACACAACCTTTACAAACAATGGCTAAATTAAGATAAGAACTAATTAAAACAAACGCCAACTTTTTGACCAAATGCACAGTCCATACATATAATCTTCTCCAGCTAATTATCCTTCATAATTTCACGTAGAAATTTGGAACCAAAACCCATACATAATACTCACGTACAATTGAATCGTCGACTTAATTACAGTAATTGTCCATGTAATGGGGTCAGCAGGGAAGGGATCCTCATTTTATTTTAAAAAAAATAGTGATTAATTATGGGACTCACTCCATATCGAATTTCAACGATCCGAACTGTCTATTTTGTAAGTTTCGATTCATAGATCATTCTTGTAAAAATTCAATTCGATTTGAAACATTTGCCTATTTAATTATCACGATGAAATTCAATGTTTTTCTTAGAATAAAATGTTTGTCAATTTTTTTGAACTGAATTAGATACCTCAAATATTTCCAATTTGGCTAATATTTTGCAAGGATGATCTATAAGGTGCAACTTGAGAAATAGTAGGTTCAGATTGTTAAAATTCGATATGGGATGGGCTCCACAACTAATACTCATTTTTATAAAATAAAATAATAATAAAAAAGAAGAGAATCCCTTCCTCAAAGGCTTCCATGGGTTCAATTGCCCATCCCTTAGATTAGCTTTCGGACCACCGTTTGGTTAAGTTCGCACTTTTCATTGGCACTGCACTAGTGCAGAGTGACTCAGTGAGTCCATTTAAGATGTTCTCTTTCACGACGTTGATTACACTTGAGTTGAGTTGTAGTATTAATAACATCGTTTTTCCTTTAAAAATAATAAAAATAATAATAAAAAAAAAAGCAAAGTAATTGTCTATTGATTAATTAATTATTAAGTAATGTAAAATAAAATCTCTTCTTAAAATTTTAAGAATATTCATCCATTGTTTTCTCTCTTAGTACTCAATGAAGCTGTCAAGCAAGACTATTCAACCTCTTGATTTCTACAGTAATGATTTGGTTTACTGAATACCGATTGTGGCACATGACTACGGACATATATGTCATCTATCTTCCACATTGAGGACTGAAAAAGCAATGGATGCATGAAGGGGGAAACTTCTGAAATTCAATAAAGTGGCTAAAACTAGTTGGAATAATAGCCACTTTCCCATGTGCCTCAACAAAAACCCAAACCCCTCTCAATTAGTCCCAACCATCCCCATCCATGAAAGAGTCTTCCACTCTTCCCCATCCTTAGGAGGGAGAAAAACCTTTTCTTTACCAGTTGTAAACAACTATGTTTATGTCTTTCTCGTCACCAAACTTGGGACTTTATACGGAGCAAAACTTTCATGTTACCCATCACGTGATAAAAGAAATAGACACATATCTAATTGTATGAATTGTGTCATTATAAATAAATATATACAAATTAAGTCAGTCAATAAAGACTATACATTAGTCATCTTACACCCAAATTCGACACATTTCAATAACGTAATTTAGACTACCGCATACTAACGAAATTTCTTTTTCCCATATTCTCCCTCCTCTGCTTTTAATTTCAATCACTCTACTTGGCCTTTGTAATCATGGCTCCTTTTGCCATCATCACTATGGAAAGCCCTCTCTCTCTCTCTCTCTCTCACAAGTACAGATACAAACACAAAAATAGCCATGTGGCTCACCCTTTGTCTCCTGGGTTCTGCCCAGACATCTCTCCTATTTAAAGTCCAAGAACTTTATTTCTCACAAACCACATTTCTGTTAGCCTTCTCTTCTCCACGTTTAAACTCTCTCTCTCTCTCTCTCTCTCTCTCTCTCTCTCTCCCCGAGGCAGCAACTGAATTGTAGAGGAAACAATGTGTTTGAACTCAGAAACGTCTCCATCTAGTCCTCTTTACTCTTCTTCTCGCCTTCGAAGGCCATCAAAGCAAAACAACTTTCGAGTTCGCCGCCTAATTAACAGGTTTGTTCCTTCACAACCCATTTCTCTCTCACTCTCTCTCTATTATTCTCTGTTCTTATCATGAAAGAGATTAGTGTTTAAATTTTGTTTGTTAACACAGGAACAGGAAGGGAAGACCAGGAGAGGCAGCAACAGAGGCAGAGACAGGAGGAGGGGCAAAGATAGAGCTGCAAATGAAGAACTTGAAGCTTTACATGGAGAACCAGATCATTATAGAAGACAATAACAAGCTGAGGAGAAAAGCGCTGCTTCTCATCCAAGAAAACCAGGCCTTGTTTTCACAGCTCCAACAAAAGCAGCTTTCTCTCACCAAAACAACAGCAGCAGTATAAAATGCATGCAGATGCACTAATAGTCCTATGAAGCTGAAACATCGATCATAGCAGTACTACTAGACGAATTATGTAAACGCATATATATTTAATGCTTAATTTTCAATTTTCATCAGAAAAAGTTTAAATAAGTAGCAGGGACCTCTCTTAGCCTTAATTTGTTCCTTCATCTCCTTGTTGGGGGACTGATATTATTCCCCCCACCTCACTTTATTTGTGGGATAATTTTGGTTTAGGTTGCAAACAAATAATAAAATAAGGTATGCTATATGGATGATTTACACTTTATGCGTGTGCAAATATGTGTAAATATCATTTGCAATGTTTTTTTCTTCTCTTTTTTTGTGGGAACTGGGGAAAATGAAAAATTCTCGAGTGTCAAACGTGAGGAGGAAGATAAATTCATACATGTTTCTATGGGTGACAGGCAAATTTTCTCCTAGCAAATTAAGAAAGGATGTTACCATATGTCCTCTCATTGACATTGTTTAATGTAAAGGTTAATATAACTTGAGATCCTTTGATGCATTTTTGTCTTTTGTCTCCTCAAAAACCAGGTGGCCCAAAGTGTTGATTCTCATCTCTCCCACCCCCCCCCCCCAACAAAACACAAACCATCCCACAAAAGATAGAGTAGATCAAGAAAATCACAACCCTATGCACAAATGTTCATAATCAATGGCAGAAAGCAATTTCATTTCATACTAATATATAAATCCCTTATGATAATTAAGAGTTTGATTCATTCTACAGTGGATTAAAGAGGAAGACATTAACTACCAGAACAATCTACCGCTTGCAAGAATTTTCTGCTTTATTAGCAACCAAAAGTAGATGGAACTCACCCTGAACCCTTACCCTTGGTAGTATGCAATTTGCTACAACTAGAGTGGCAAATTCAAAAAACTCGATGATGGTATTAAAAGATAGGTAAAACTTGATCAATATAAATGCCATGATCTTGAAATAAAATCACAGGGGCAGAAAAATAGATTATGAGTTCCTTGTATTCGTTAAATTAGATTAAATTAAGAGAGACTTTGGATTCAGGTTCCTAGTCATTAACACTCTTTCACTAAAACCTCAATGGTATTCAATTTTTTATCAAAGTCTCTTGACTTTATACGCCTCATTATATTGTGTGTGTATGTATAGCATATAAATCTCAAATTTAAAATCCCTCATTATTTACTATTAAAAACGGCTGCAATAAAAAAAATCAAAATTTTGATTGAATAAATGAATAAAAAACAATGTAACAATATGAAATAATAAATGCAAAAGAATGTATCCATAGTGTTAAAAACTTGGTGCATTTTACATATAAAATGTTACAAAAAAATTAGTACATTTTAGTATTCTCCCTACTAAGAATAAGTGATTGGGCAACGAAGGGACAGCCGTCGCACAAAGCCAAATTTGGTCGCAGGAAATTTTGGACGATGAAGAGGATGTCGCGCAAAGCTCGTGATGTTAGACATTAGGCAACAGAGGAAAGTCCTTCTTTCCACGAAATGATGATCACGCGATAGAATTGGTGGTCGTTGTGCAAAACAGACAACGCGACGAATTGGTGCTCGTTGCGGGAGATATTCTGCATGACAAAATTGGGGTTCGACGCGGTAATATTTGCGCGACGGACAAATTTATATTCATTTTTTCCCTTTAAATGTTGATAATATTGTTTTATGTAATTTAAATTAATTTAATGAAATTAAAAACAGAAAATGTTCTTATATTGAATTAAAAAATTATTTAAAGTGTACATACAAAGGAAAAATAATATTTTAAATTTTGAAAAAAAATAAAATAAAACTACAATATATCATCGTCCACGTCACAATCGCTTGCTAGTGGTGTTGCTGCTGCGTTGGGGGGCTGAGAGGTAGTAGCTATTGCGGCAGGGGGCTGGGAGGTCGTTGTTGAAGTAGGTTCAATGGTGGGGAACCAAATGCTAGAGAACTGACGGGCAAGACAAATTTGGTTCATCATATTGCTTTAGGCCGCAAGCAGAGACTGCTGGGTGACAATCTACTTCATTAAGTCTGCCACTTCAGATGCCAGCGATTTGACTTCTCTGCCTGGAGAAGGAGGCAAACAGGTCCCAAATGCGGGCTTTCCTAAGCCCCCAATGAACATTCATTGCCTACGACCGAGGGTCTGATCTAGTGTGTCTGTCATGATCTAAAAACCCGCATCCTCGAGGGGAAACACCTCCTCGATTGGGGTCTTTGGGGGAAGTTGTGAAGCCACCTCCTTTAGAAAGGTCTGACTCTTCTCCACCATGGTGGACTAGAAAAATGAAAACAAACAAATTAATTTAAATATACATGTAATTAATATTAATACTAATTGAATAATAAAAATTTGAAATAACTTATATGAATCTGATCTGTTAGCTTATTCCTGGGCCAAACGTATACCTCTTTGAACATGTCAATCTCAGTAAACTTCGACCCCCTGAATAAAAAAAATATTAACACATTGATTACAAATTTTGTAATAGAGAGTAAAAAGAATCAAAACTTAAAATAAATATACGGTTACCTTACGTCGTTCCTCTAACCTATAAGAGAAGCATCGCGAGCCAGAGCAATGAAGAAGTTTCTTCTTTGACCAGTTGATCGAGTTTTCCTTCACTTTTTTTGTTGAATAAAAAAAAACGTATTAGTTTGGTTATTTATAACAAATTAATAAAAAAATTAAAAAATTATTTAAAAATAAAAAAATTTTGATTAAATATTATTGAAATATATATTATACTCATGAGGTATTTCTCATCTTGAAAATGGCCGCAGAGCCACTCTCATTCATCCCGACGGTCCACCAACTCCTTAGGGCACCCAACATCTAGAGTAACCTCCGAACCGTCATATTTCTCATAATGCTTGTGGAGGTCACTATTCCACTGAGTGAACCTGCCAGTGAAAATCTCACTGATGTACTACTTTTGATTGGCATCGAGGTTCGTGAGATCATAGTGATGCTGCAAAACACAAAAAATTAAAAGTAATTAAAATTTATAATATTTGTATACTTTAATAAAAATTTAGTATTTGAGGTTGACAATACTTACTGATAATTCATGAAGAATGTCGCCCTTGACTTCATGTGGGACGGCTTTCCAGCACTCCTACAGGAGTGGGTAATGACTCTTGATAACCGAGCCACTGTCAATAGGCAACGCATTGTGTTGCTCCTTTGTTACAGCAGGATGATGTCGAGGATCCCACATAATGGTGATCTTCTTGGTCGTGGTGCAAAACAAAGTAAACATCAGATGAATTCTATTTTATATCAAAAATTCGGCAGACCCTCCCCTAAAACTATAACATTTCCTAAAACCTAAAGACAATATAACAGAAACAACACATACACCCAACAATTCAAACACTTTATATACCAATTAGGGACTTTAAAACAATTATAACCTGAATTCCAAATTGTTAAACTGAAAATACTATGAGAAAGATGCATTACCTGGCTGGGACCCCTCTCTATGGACAGAGGAAGCCTCCCTAGGCTGCTCAGCCTCTTCAAAACTATGGGGTCATCGATGAGTCTACTAGGCGCTTAGTAGAGGATGCGTCACCGAAGAAGTCAATGACATAGGAGCAGGAGATACCGTTGGACCGAAAGGCAGGACCGGAGACACACCCCTCATGTCCAAATCCGGTGGGGAGGTGGCAACAGCACTACGTGCTGGAGAAGGTGTCTGAGTGACCCAACTAGCTGTCCAGCAGTTTGAAATTAAGTTCGACATCTACAAAAACAATAAATAAAAAAGTAACAATTGAATAATATAACATGTACATAACAAATCATTTAAATCCTTAACTGAATACTATAACAAATCATTTTAAATAACATGTAAATAGAAATTTGCAAGTTAATACTATAACAAAGTTGATCAATATGATTACAACACAGAATCGAAATTTTATCAAATTTTTTTAGGGACAAGTGGACAATCATGAGGGAGAAGTCATTGCCTTTTGGCAATTATGATTTGTTTAGTTTATAAGTTTATACCTTTTGGCAACTTATGTATACACCTTAATGTTGAATAATCAGTAATTTGATGTGGGGGCAATTGTATTTGGTCTATATTGTTCTTAACAAGTTACATTCCACTATTGTTAGTCAATTTATTAGAGTAGTACATGGCATATAATATACATAATCTATCAATACCAACATGTGTTTGTTTATGTTTTGCATATAAAAGCTATCAAATGTTTATAAATAACATAAGCAATGAATCCTAAGTAGCTGATCCGCCAATAAATCAGTAATAGACAGAGAACAGTCAAATATTTAACATTTTCCTTGATAGATATACAGATATATATATATATATAGAGAGAGAGAGAGAGAGAGAGAGAGAGAGAGAGAGAGAATAAGTATATCTATTTTTGGGAAAAAGATCCAAAACCAAACTAAAAGACCAAATCTAGTGAACCTATTTGAATATACAACTAGGGCAAAGCATTTGAGACAATAGCATATATGAGGGACAAGGTGTGAAGGGTAAGGGTTGGTTGGTGTTGGGAAACAAATAGCAAAATATCAAAAATATGGGTATTAGCTATAGGCAGCATGATTTGACCACATAATCCAGAGTGTTGGGGGCATGGTTTATAGCCATATATTGGTGGGGAATGAAAATGAGAAATAGCAAATATAAATCAATTCAAAGCAATATTATCTACGCACCTACACACACACACACACACACACACATAAATAGTACTCATTCCCAAACGAAAAATAGTGTTCAAATTATCTTCTCTGCTTCTTTCACCAGTCACCACTATCATCTGGCTACTCAGTTTCCCCTGTCTCTTTCTTTTTCCCTTTATTTTTCTAATTGAAAACAAAATAGTTATCAAGCAAACCCTATTTCTTGTTCTTTGCTAAAGGTAACGCTAACTGCATGAGGAATTTTCTTAAACTCTTCATTCTTTCAAAAATGAAGGGACCATACCATGTAAACTTTAGATGTTCTGACTGTCGCACAACTATATGTTGATTCTTTGCCCCCTATTGTTTCCCGTCTAGCAGGGAATAGAGAAGGAAAGATTTTCGTTTGGGAACTACAATCCAGCCCTCCTGTTCTTATTGCAAAGTTCGTTCGGTTTTCTGTTCCTCTAATACCATCATTTAGCTAATAAAAAAAGTAAAAAAAAAAAAAAGAATGATTATATATAGTACTCAAGGAAACGTGATTGTGTTTTAAGCTGGAATATATCTACCCACCTATATATATATATATATATATAT